CTCACTACCCTCATCCTTTTTTTCAAGAATGTCCCATATGCCTCTATGTTGTACCTTTTCCACTACCTTCCATTGTGGACCCAACACTAGATCATCCATATAAAATACCCGTTGTGCTTGGATGCCAAGTTTGTAGGAATCATCCATGTGCAATGCACGGGCAATGTGGTTACGAAGGTAATGTTAGTGTTACAAAAAAAATATCTCTCCCCTTTTTTTGGTAGTTTTTTCTTAACCATTGTATGCATAATAAAGCTTTTTTCATACTTAATAGGCAATGATTTGGACAAGCTGTACTAAAATTATGCAATAAAAAAAATAAGAGCTTAAGCTTCAAGTATATGTCATTTTAGAAATAAAATCACTTAATAAGAATGAAGGAAATATAATATTGAATCTCAGAATACGAAAGAAGAGCGAAATCCTAGCCAAAAATTTGTGTGTGATTTCACAAAAGATGTCTGGTGAGGAAGCTTGAATCTTGAAGATCTGCAAGTTCGATAATGTTATAGTGCTATCACTATGAGAAGCTCTTTTCCATAAATAAGAAATAGAAATTAGACCTTGATCTAGATTAAGTAAAGAGAGCAATAGCAATACCTTTTGAAAACTGATAATCATGTGACGAGGTCTCTTGCTCCCATTGTTTCTAGACTTGAATCTGCAAAATATAGTTTTATCAAACAATGAGTTTCCACTCAAGCTTGGCTTTACCTATTTAATGTAGCCGGTTCAAATTCCAAAAGGTTCGAATGAAGAGAATTCAGGGAAAAATAAGCAAATTCCAAACTAAACATTACAAATTATAAATCAATGCATTTTATGTTAAATAGAAGCACTACAAATTGTATGTTAACACCGTTTGGAATTACCCAAGGACCTTCCAACAATTATAATAAACTACGTAACATGTGAAATATAAGGAATCCCAACTCATTGCTTTTGCTACTCCCTTACCCGTGGACACATTATCACAAGTGTAGTCTGAGCTTGTATTTGAATATAACCGGCCTACACCGGCAAGAGACTCAAGAAAAAGAAGATTTGATGCTACACAAATGAAGGGTGTAAAGTAGTAAGCAGATAGATATTAGTGATGAAAAGAACAGTAAGAAATTATCCCATAATATGATTTGATATATTGAGTCAAGGTGAAATTGTTGGATATGCACCTTTATTCCATGATTTAGAATTCCTTTGCAGGCCTTGACCATCACCTCTAGGAAAGAAGGGACCCAACT